GGGTATTTCCATTAATTAACTCATATCTTCGTCAAAAAGGCGCATGGGCCCAAACCAACTTGTGGTTTTTCACTGCTGACTATTCCCTACATGGTCAAAATAGTTTGAATCAAAAAGCGTTTAATGACCTCGAGAGGTTCCCTCGTTAGTGGCTCACAACTTCTTTTGTGAGTCGACCTTACCTGAGATACTGCGTGCATTAAGAAAAAGGACTTTCATCTTTGCGGCTTCGACCTTTTGCCCTATGTTTAGGCTATCTGACATCTGACTGCGTAACACATGGATCAGTAGTATAACTATTTAAACACACAAATTCCTTATTTATTCACGACCGCCGAGGAAATTGAGAAAAAAAAAGTCAATACCAAAATTGTTCATTGATATTTTTCCTGTTAAATACATTAAATATCATGTTCTTCTCAATCATCTTCTTCATCTAATAAATAATTAACATCATTTTGTGTAAATAAATTAACATTCTTTTTACCATCGTGATATATGACAATTCCATTTAATGTGCGTACCTTTTTCTTGTCTGATTTTGATTTGGCGTATTTAAATAACTTATAGTTATGCGGTATCAAATCTTCGTTGATCGATATAGCTTTGTCTAAACGTTTTTTGTTCATCATTATATTTGATTTGGATTTATAATGAATAAATCGAACAATAATTTCACGTAGTGCTTGATTTCGTAGTTGCTTTTGATTATTATTACTTCCACTACGAATTAAATTATGACACACAGAAATATCACCAGATGTAATACTGACACCTATACTCGAACATGTATCAATCACTAATTGTTCGACATTTCCATCTTATACTTCTGGAATTCCATGTATTCGAAGATTTAAACGACGATCGTATGTAGCTAAATGATTATGACTTGATTCTAATTTTTCTAAACGATCTTCCAGTAATTTGACACGTTGTTGTAAAGGTGCAATAGCTTTTTTAATCAAACTTGATACACCCTCAATAAATTCTTTTGATTTTTGAGTGAGTATATTACTGGAAAGAACATTCCAGAATACCTATAGATACTATGTTTTCAACCTTCCTGAACTCTGTTTTAGTTCGTTACATCTTACCTGTCCGCATCATACGCTGTCAAATTTGTACAGTGTTACAGAAGAGTTTAAAAATCGAGAAAATAGGATTTGAGTAGGGAAAATGACATTATTTGCAGTCTGATAGACAAATCACAAAAATGAGATATGTTCCGCCAGCACTGGAAATTTTTTCTAGATCCGTCCCTGTCTTTGTCTTCGTGCCATAGATATCTTCCGTTCTGCCCATCCTTTATCCTAGCAAGAAAATGCGATGACTGAATCATAATGTAGCAGGAATTATTTAGGATTTTAGTAGGAAAAGATAATTCTTGAGCAGGAATTTCATAGGATTGCTTATATGTTTCTATCTCTCGCGAAATTTCTCCATTCGTTCTCATTATTTGACCAAAAGCTACTAAATATTTCTTTGTAACTCTAAAGCATTTAAAAAAGGCGTGTATACATTTATTATTTCAACCTGAGATTAACTATCCTTATTCGTTAAGGAACAAAATCCTAGCAGGATCCTAAATGTTAGGATCTGAGATTCTTGGTAGGAGCCTAACATCCCAGATCCTGTCAGGAAATGATTAGGATCCTACACCGATCATAATAGGATCCTAAATTTTTAGGATCCTGGTAGGAAACAGATAAGAAGTGCATAGGATTTTGTCTAGGGCGAGAGCAATCTAACAGGTTAGATTGAAAATAGACTGTAAATGGGAGAAGGAAGCAAGAAATAAGGCTGTGAAAAACAGCCGCACACACAATTACGACATATTCGTGGAGCAAAACTTGTTCAAAACAGTCTGGGTCGTAATTTTCTACCACCTTAGTTGATTTTGAGTACTTTAACATACATTACTCTTCTTTCTAATGTTGAACAACACGATAGACCATTTTTACAAAAGGGCAACCTAATTTTAAGGTTCAAATTCATTCTGCAGTTCCTATCAACGATCGAGAATTCTGCATGTCAATAGAGGATTTTTCATTCTTAAGTCCATTCTTAGAACACATTTATCTAACAAGACGTGAACAGGCATATTTTATATTAGTCATGACCTTATGCTTATAAGCAACTTGCAAAAAAGGTTTTTCTTCAACTCATATGCAAAAATACTTCAGCCAAATCTGTGTCGACTCCATATGGTACCACCAACATGAATACGATACCTTTACAGATGTTCTTTACAATTCTCAAATGTTAATTATTGTGCAGCGGCTATACAAGTAAAAGTGTTGGTGATTAATCCACTGATTTTATTTTCGTTGAAAAATTATTTAATATCCTGATTCATAGTAAAAATAACAGTCAGAAGTTTATGAGGAAAAAATGCTTCGATGAGTGGTTATGTTTTTTGCTTTTTAAGTCATCGTTGGAAGAAAAGAACGAAGTATTTTTCCGTTCATCAAGAGATGGCTGACATGACGAGATACTTTATGTATTCATGCGAGTCACAGAATAGGGTGCCATAGTAGCAACAAAACTATTTTCTTTTTGTTGTTCCTTATTATTGTTTTATTCGTGTATAAATATACACAAGTAAAATGCATAAATTACATAACAAGAAGGCAATAAACTGCAGTAACTACACGGTTTATTACTTGTAGATTACCCTTAAAAATTATTTGGTAAAGGAACGTCGTTTTGCCTGTCAAGAACACTAAACAGGTAAAAGTCATTATTTTATTAGTGGTAGATTAACTGATCAATGACTAAAACGGATTGAATGCGATTCAGCACTCGTTTCGATTCGAACAGAGTTTGGTTTTTAAAAGATCCAGTCGCATTGGATCGAATCGAATTCATTTTGTTTCGGGCTCTGTAACTGGTAAGTGTTAAGTAAGATTTTTCTCTCGTAAACTTGCAGTACTTCACTTTATCCGACATAATATCACTTTTATTCCGATTACAAGCATAGCTTTTGCTACTTCAAACGATGCAGTATTCGTCAAGGCAACATGCAAATGATAATGTTCCCAGGGGAAAAAAGACGGGCAATTAACTGCTCATTAACTGCCAGTTTACACTCTGCTTAAAAACTGCCAGTTGACAACGTGTTAACTGTCTAAAAACCACCTAAAAACTGTCTAGTTTATTGGCCATTTTCAGGTCTGCAAAAATACCGTCTAATAACTGCCAGTAAACGGAAAAGCCAAAAAACAGCTAGTTAACTGTGTGGTTAACGGC